GAGAGAGAGAGAGAGAGAGAGAGAGAGAGAGAGAGAGAGAGAGAGAGAGTACTGTGTCATGATACCCCAAGGATCTCCTCAGTTAAGCCCTCTCCCTCCCTTCTCCCCCTTCCCTCCCACTCTTTCTCCCTTCCATCTTCTCTACCTCCATTCCTCCCTCTATCCCCTACCTCTTCTTTCTGTCCCTACCCTCAATCTCCCTCGTCTCTCCCTCTCACTTCCCCTTCTCTCCTGTCCTCCCCCTTCTCTGCCCTCTACCCCTTCCTCTCCTCTCCCTCCCTCTCTAGCCCCTTCCCTACCCCTCTCTACCCCTTCTCTTCCCTCCCCTCTCCTACCCCCTCCCTCTACCCCTACCCTCTCCCTCCCTCTCCCTCTCTCCTCTACCCCCTCTCCTCTCTACCCTCTCTACCCCTTCCTCCCTCTCCCTCTACTTCCTGGTAACTGAAGGTGTGAGGGCGCATCTAAAGGCCTCGCTTATGCTACAGTAAACAAGGATGGCGGGGAAACTACTCCTTGAGACTCTACCGTAAACAGAAACCAGTAAACTAAGATCGCAAACAGTAAACTGAGACTGTAAACAGGAACCGTAAACAGACTATAGACAGGAATCGTAAACTAAGACTGTAAACAACTACCGTTAACAGTAACTATAAACAACTACCGTTAACAGTAACTATGAACAACTACCGTTAACAGTAACTATAAACAACTACCGTTAACAGTAACTATAAACAACTACCGTTAACAGTAACTATAAACAACTACCGTTAACAGTAACTATAAACAACTACCGTTAACAGTAACTATAAACAACTACCGTTAACAGTAACTGTAAACAACTACCGTTAACAGTAACTATAAACAACTACCGTTAACAGTAACTATAAACAACTACCGTTAACAGTAACTATAAACAACTACCGTTAACAGTAACTATAAACAACTACCGTTAACAGTAACTATAAACAACTACCGTTAACAGTAACTATAAACAACTACCGTTAACAGTAACTATAAACAACTACCGTTAACAGTAACTATAAACAACTACCGTTAACAGTAACTATAAACAACTACCGTTAACAAGGACCGTAACAAACGTCCGTAAACAAATTTTCGTTCTTGTGAACCTAATAAAAATACAATGATATTTTTATCCAACAACGACCATAAATAACTAACAATTAAAAGAAAAACAAAACAAAACTATATATACTTTTCATAATTATTTTTATTTTTTTATTTTTTTCAGGGGGCAGGTGATGTCTATTAATTGGTTAGGTTAGGTTAGGTTAGGTCAGTTTTTTCTCTATTTTTACGGGGATTAGCCCACCCGGGCACAGGTCACTGACCCACATCGGGGCCTGGGGGGCGAAAATGTAATACTACTACTACTACTACTACTACTAATAATAATAATAATAATAATAATAATAATAATAATAATAATAATAATAATAATAATAATAATAATAATAATAATAATAATAATTATAATAATAATAATAATAATAATAATAAATAATAATACTAATAATAATAATAATAATAATAATAATAATAATAATAATAATAATAATAACAATAATAATATAGATAATAATAATAATAATAATAATAATAATAATAATAATAATAATAATAATAATAATAATACTACAATAATAATAATAATAATAATAATAATAATAATAATAATAATAATAATAATAATAATAATAATAATAATTATAATAATAATAATAATAATAATAATAATAATAATAATAATAATGATAATAATAATAATAATAATAATAATAATAATAATAATAATAATAATAATAAAGAAATACATAAATGAAAAAAAAGATAACCAATGAGAAACAATATATGTATGTTGTGTTGTTAATGGTAAGAGAAACAATTGAGACCCTGCAATTGTGTGTAAATGAGGCATAAAGTCAGATCAGCAACCTGGGACTTGGTCACATATGGCAGCAGGGTCTACCATTAGACAACACATTATGCTTCCAATATCTTCCCAGGCGGTAGTACCTCACCTATTCTAATCTAAACTAACGCATAAAATAAAATAAATTATATATATATATATATATATATATATATATATATATATATATATATATATATATATATATATATATATATATATATATATATTGTATATATATATATATATATATATATATATATATATATATATATCGTATGTTAAAATGTAATACACATTGTATCAAATTGTGGGGACTGTGAATTTCATTAATTGTGAGTAATAAAATCAGAGTTTATGTGAGTACGTTATAGGTGAGCCGTACGTGTGTGTGTGTGTGTGTGTGTGTGTGTGTGTGTGTTCAGTGTGTGTGTCTGTGTGTGTGTGTGTGTGTGTGTGTGTGTAAGAATATGATGACTTAACCTCTAATACGATGACTTAACCCCTTTAATACACCCACTTAACCCTATCATTTTAAGTCATCGTACTCAAAGGGTTAAATCACAAAAAATAAAAAAAATAATCACCCTCATCCAGAAAATCAATCACGAATTCACTGTTTTTCCTTCTTCTTCATCTTCTTCTCCTTCTTTCATTTCTTTCTTTCTATCGGTCTTTCAAACTCAGGACCTCTGCTATCTTCCCAATTCTTTCCTTTACTCAAATCTTTATTATTTATTTATTTGTTTATGTATTCCTCTTGTATACACCGGAAGTTATGACATCACACGAGGCCAGAGGTCAAGAGGTCAGGAGGTCAGGATATCTAGGTTAAGTCAGTTTAGGTTAGGCTAGGATGTCATTAGGTCAGATATCACAGGTCAGAGGTCAGATATCAGAGGTTAGGAGATAAGAGGTATGGTAACAAAGGTCAGGTCAGGGGGTAAGTGGTATTATATCAGAGGTCAGGTCAGATGATCAGGAGGTCAGATATAAGAGGTCAGGGGGTAAGTGGTATTATATCAGAGGCCAGGGAAAATGATCACGAGGTCAGATATAAGAGGTCGGGAGGTAAGAGGTATTGTAACAGAGGTGAGGTCATGAGGTCAGATTTAAGAGGTCAGGAGGTGAGAAGTATCATATCAGAGGTCAGGTCATGATGTCTGATATGAGTCAGGAGGTAAGAGGTATTATATCAGAGGTCAGGTACGGAGGTCAAATATAAGAGGTCAGGAGGTAAGAGGCATTAATGTATATCAGAGGCCAGGTAAAGAGGTCAGATATAAGAGGTCAAGAGGTCAGATATAAGAGTTCAGAAGGTAGAGGTATTAATGTACATCCGAGGCCAGGTAAAGAAGTCGGATATAAGAGGTCAGGAGGTAAGAGGTATTAATGTATTTAGAGGCCAGGTAAGGAGGTCAGATATAAGAGTTCAGGAGGTAAGAGGAGGTATTAATGTATATCAGAGGCCAGGTAACGAGTTCAGATATAAGAGGTCAGGAGGTAAGAGGTATTAATGTATTTAGAGGCCAGGTAAGGAGGTCAGATATAAGAGTTCAGGAGGTAAGAGGAGGTATTAATGTATATCAGAGGCCAGGTAAGGAAGTCGGATATAAGAGGTCAGAAGGTAAGAGGTATTATATCAGAGGTCAGGAGGTCAGGAGGTCACGAATGGGGGATAAAAAAAACACAAGGATAAACAGCTAGTAAACTAAATGTGGCGGGCGATTACCGTAGATTTATTCACCGCGACCGAGCAATGTGATTTTTTTTACAGTGATGCTCTATTTTAATGTCTCGCTGTATTTTATGTCCCACTGTATTTTATGTCTCGTATTGTGTCACGCTGTATTTAATGTATCGCTGTATATGTCTCGCTGTATTTTGTCTCGTATTTTTTCTCGCTGTACTTTAATGTCTCGCTGTATTTTAATGTCTCGCTGTATTTTATATCTCGCTGTATTTTATGTTTCGCTGTATTTTAATGTCTCGCTGTATTTTATATCTCGCTGTAGTTTATGTCTCGCTGTATTTTATGTCTCGCTATATTTTATGTATCGTTGTATTTTAATGTCTCGCTGTATTTTACATCTCGCTGTAGTTTATGTCTCGCTGTATTTCAATGTCTCTGTATTTTATATCTCGCTGTATTTTATGTCTCGCTGTATTTTATATCTCGCTGTATTTTATGTTTCGCTGTATTTTAATGTCTCGCTGTATTTTATATCTCGCTGTAGTTTATGTCTCGCTGTATTTCAATGTCTCTGTATTTTATATCTCGCTGTATTTTATGTCTCGCTGTATTTTATGTCTCGATATATTTATGTCTCCTTTGTATTTTATGTCTCGCTGTATTTTAATGTCTCGCTTTATTTTATGTCTCGCTGTATTTTTGTGTAGATGGATGGATGGATGGATGGATGAATGGTACAGTAAATGGATGGATGGACGGATTGGTGGTTGGTACAGTAGATGGATGGATGGATGGATGAATGGTACAGTAAATGGATGGATGGACGGATTGGTGGTTGGTACAGTAAATGGATGGATGGATGGATGAATGGTACAGTAAATGGATGGATGGACGGATTGGTGGTTGGTACAGTAGATGGATGGATGGATGGATGAATGGTACAGTAAATGGATGGATGGACGGATTGGTGGTTGGTACAGTAAATGGATGGATGGATGGATGAATGGTACAGTAAATGGATGGATGGACGGATTGGTGGTTGGTACAGTAGATGGATGGATGGATGGATGAATGGTACAGTAAATGGATGGATGGACGGATTGGTGGTTGGTACAGTAAATGGATGGATGGATGGATGAATGGTACAGTAAATGGATGGATGGACGGATTGGTGGTTGGTACAGTAGATGGATGGATGGATGGATGAATGGTACAGTAAATGGATGGATGGACGGATTGGTGGTTGGTACAGTAGATGGATGGATGGATGGATGAATGGTACAGTAAATGGATGGATGGACGGATTGGTGGTTGGTACAGTAGATGGATGGATGGATGGATGAATGGTACAGTAAATGGATGGAGCTGACTTACTTTGTGTTGTTCAGCCGTCACAGCTTCTTGCCTGTTCACACTCCTTCAAGATGTTCAATGTTCACTCTCCTGTTCAGAACTGTTCAGAAGTTTACTCTCTTGCACAAAACTGTTCAGCTGTTCTGTTAACTTTCTTACGCAGGGATCTTAGTGGTTCAAAAGTTCACAAATATGTTCAGATGTTCAAAAGTTTACTCACACAGAACTGTTCACACGTTCAACACGACGAGATAGAAGGAATAGATACCACTCAAGTCTGTTCAAAGTTCAAACACAAATTTGACCAGATTTCGAGAGATATTACCCAAGGAGAGGAAAATGCTTAAAGTTTGTCAAAGTTTTCAGGTTATTCACTTAAACTTAGACAAAGTTCAGTTAAGTTAGGTGCAGCCAGAAGCAGAGAGTTCAAACTTGTTCAAAAGACGGATTATTTCTTTATGCATTTACATATAATACGTGTTGTTCAATGCTCTATGTTCAACAGTGTACATAATTCATCTCTTCACACTACTGTTCACGATAATTGAACGTTGATCTAGGATGTTCATTTAGGTTTACTGGAATTTAATGTTCATCACTTCTCTCTCATCTGTATTCAGTAAACTTACAGCTGTTCACTAGTTTATTTATCAGGGTATGGACAGAGTTCATTTATATTCACCACGACCTACTCAAAGTTCACAGGCGTCCACAAATGTTCAACAAACCTTAAACAAAATGATCAACACAATAATGAACTATTTGGCAGAGTTCACAATGTTCAGGATTCATAAAAATTTTTCACTACAGTTAATAAAGATTTATCCTTCCACATTTGGATATGTTCATTAATGTTCACAAGTGTACATAAACTAAAGTGAAAAAATACTTTAAGTTCAAAATACTTTAAGTCTCAAACTGTTCGTTCAAGTTCACAAAAAGTTCATCAAAGTTACACAGCGTCCAAAAAGTTCACAAAATGTTCACTACAGTTAAAAAATATTACCCAGAGCTTCACACAGTGTTCATATGCGTTCACCAAATATCACCAACGTTCACTAAATATCCCAAACGTTCACCAAATATCCCAAACGTTCACCAAATGTCCCAAACGTTCACCAAATATCCCCAAACGTTCATTAAATATCCCCAACGTTCACCAAACATCCCCAACGTTCACTAAATATCCCAACGTTCACCAAATATCCCCAACGTTCACCAAATATCCCCAAACGTTCATTAAATATCCCCAAACGTTCATTAAATATCCCCAACGTTCACCAAATATCCCCAAACGTTCACCAGAAATACTAAACGTTCACCAAACATCCCCAACGTTCTGATATCCCCAATGATCAATAAATATCCCCAACGTTCAGTAAATATCCTCCAGCGTTCACCATATATTTCACTAAATGTTCACCGGTGTTCAGGGAGCGTTCAGGGGGCATTGAGAGGCCGTGACAGCCCTGAAGGATGGTGTATTTTTTCATGAGTGTCGCCTGAGAAATTAGAAAGCTTCTAATCTTGAAATAAACTGAAATTGAATCATAGCGTAAAGGGGTGTTCTGTGTGTGTGTGTGTGTGTGTGTGTGTGTGTGTGTGTGTGTGTGTGTGTGTGTGTGTGTGTGTTGTGTGTGTGTGTGTGTGTGTGTGTGTGTGTGTGTGTGTGTGTGTGTGTGTGTGTGTGTGTGTGTGTGTGTGTGTGTGTGTGTGTGTGTGTGTGTGTGTGTGTGTGTGTGTGAAGTAGGACTGGAAATAGACAGACAGACAGAAAACAGACAGAGATAATATATAGACACAGCATTAGAGAGATAGAGAGAATTGGTAAAAAAAAAGACACATGGAGAAATAAAACAGAGATAAAAGGAGATTTGAGAAGTAAGAGAGAGAGAGATAAGATAGACGGAGAGATAGAAAGAGACTGAGATATAGACACAGGGAAAGAGAATTGGAGATACAGAGAGAATCTCACCTTACCTAACCTAACCTAACCTATCCTATCCTAACTCCAATCCCAACCTAACCTAACCTATCCCATCCTAACCTAACCTAACCTAACCCAACCTATCCTATCCTAACCTAACCTAACCTAACCTAACCTAACCTAACCTAACCTAACCTAACCTAACCTAACCTAACCTAACCTAACCTAACCTAACCTAACCTAACCTAACCTATTCTAACCTAACCTATCCTATCCTAACCTAACTTAACCTAACCTAACATTACCTAACCTAACCTAACCTATCCACTCTTCATCATTACCTCTCTCCACACACTTTATCCACTTATCCACACGACGAAAACACTCCCATCCATTTACCCACACCATATTAGTACCCTACTATCCCTCTATATAAGCATACTATCCATTTATCCACACGACGCAAACACACCATCCACTTACCCACATAATATTCTCCTATCCCTCTATAGAAACACACTATCCACTTACCCACACGACACAAATACCCCACAATCCCTTTATACAAACACACTATCCACTTATCCACACGACACAAACACACTATCCACTTATCCACATAATACTCCCTCCTATCCCCTCTATAGAAACACACCATCCACTTATCCACGATACAAACACACTATCCACTTATCCACACGACACAATAATACTACTCCTAATTTATCCAATAATGACACAAACACACTATCCACTTATCCACACGACACAAACACACTATCCACTTATCCACACGACACAAACACACTATCCACTTATCCACACGACACAAACACACTATCCACTTATCCACACGACACAAACACACTATCCACTTATCCACACTACACAAACACACTATCCACTTATCCACACGACACAAAAACACACCATCCACTTATCCACACCACACAAAATTAATAATTATCCACTTCATATTCTCCCTATTCCTTCGTTTTATTGATTATTCACCACCAGAGCATTGTATCAATAACCCCGATGGCTGGTGGCGGCACTTTTGCGGTGGTCGAGAGGCGAAATCTTCACTTCAGAGAGAGAGAGAGAGAGAGAGAGAGAGAGAGAGAGAGAGAGAGAGAGTTGAACCAAGTGATTCCAATATCAACACAACGGAACGATAACTTTGTGTTTTTTTGCACGACAGCTTTTATTTACGTTTGTTGTGATTGGTTTATATAATGGACCAATGCGCTTACGTCTGTACCAGTGTTACTCTTGGTGGATGGAGTAGAAGTATTAGTAGTAGTTGCTGTAGAAGTAGTAGTAGAAGTAGTAGTAATAGTAGTTGTTGTTGTTTTAGTAGTAGTAGTAGAGTATTAGTTGTTGTTGTAGTAGTAGTAGTAGTAATAGTAGTAGTTGCTGTAGAAGTAGTAGTAGTAGTAATAGTAGTTGTTGTTGTAGTAGTAGTAGTAGTAGTAATAGTAGTTGTTGTAGTAGTAGTAGTAGTGGTGGTAGTAGTATAGCTCTGCGGCTCAACTAACTCAACACAGATAGGATAGCTACTTATGTATTAGGATAATTAATTTTAAGGTAATAAAATGGCGGCGAAGGTGTGGCTATGAGTGGAGGATGGAGGCAAAACAAAAAGTAGTAGTAGTAGTAGTAGTAGTAGTAGTAGTAGTAGTAGTAATAAAATAAGTAATCGTAGTTTCACTCTCTCTCTCTCTCTCTCTCTCTCCCTCTCTCTGACCTACAAGGGTTACAGTGGACAACACAAGTAGGTGTGGTAATGGAGGTAAGAGACGTACAAGTAGAGAAGAGGAGAGGAAGAGGCATTAGGGAGAGTGGAGGGAAGAGTGACTGGTGTTGGCATGTACAGTAGAGAGAGAGAGAGAGAGAGAGAGAGAGAGAGAGAGAGAGAGAGAGAGAGAGAGAGAGAGAGAGAGAGAGAGAGAGAGAGAGAGAGAGAGAGAGAGAGAGAGAGAGAGAGAGAGAGAGAGAGAGAGCGAGATAAAAACCGGAAAGCTCAAGCATGTAACAGAAACAAAACAATACCTGTCCAAAGAACCAAAGAGAGAGAAAAAAAGATGGACAGACAGACAGACAAAGAGAAAGTAGTAAAATACAACACGACAGGAAAGGGAAAGGAAGTGGAAAGTTTACCCAGAGAGAGAGAGAGAGAGAGAGAGAGAGAGAGAGAGAGAGAGAGTTTTTTCCTCTTTCTACACAGTAAGTGCGAGAGGCTGTTAGCTTGACTTGGTAAAGACACGCGGAAATAGTACGAAAGGAGAGGAGAGAGAGAGAGAGAAGGCAAGAGGAAGGAGAGAAGGAGAGAGATACAAGGAGAGAGAAAGGAGAGAAGGAGAGCAAAGTGGAAAGAGGAAAGGAGAGGAGAGAGAGAAAAGGAAAGAGGAAGGAGAGAGGGAAATAAAAGACAAATGATAATAATGGTTTACGAAGAAGAAATAACTTACAAGAAATAAAGGTCAACATAAACATAGAGATACATGGAAATAATTTCTTAATGGCGCTTGGAAATAAGGACCAATAAACAGGGTAATAAGAGCAATTTGGATGTTGGAGTAAATGGAAGGAAACGCCGATAATGGTACAGGAACAAGTATCATGAATAAAAGGGAAATAGAGAGAGAGAGAGAGAGGATAATAAGAAAGACGTGATAAGGATAGTAAATAAGCAGTATAAGAGGAAATAGATGGAATTGGTGATAAAAGGAGAAGAGGAAATGTTGATAAATATGGAAATAAGAAAAATGGAAATAATAACAATAGAGAAGAAACAATAAGAAAAAATAAGGAAAAAATGACAGACATAGACAAGTAGACAGACATACAGACAGAAAGACATACAGACAGAAAGACATACAGACACACAGACATACAGACACACACACAAACGTACATACAAAGTCAAGAGACACAAACCACTGAAAATACTGACAGATACAAACAAAGACAGACAGAGAAAACAGACAGACAGACAGACAGACAAAGTGCCATACGGACAGACAAACAGACCGCCACAGCTAGACCGTGTGATTGAAGTCAGAGGTCCAAAAGTTATTGTTGCTTTGAGGAAGAAAGACAGGAACATATCTCATGGGTCCAGCTGTGGTAGTGAGAGAGAGAGAGAGAGAGAGAGAGAGAGAGAGAGAGAGAGAGAGAGAGAGAGAGAGAGAGAGAGAGAGAGAGAGAGAGAGAGAGAGAGAGAGAGAGAGAGCAAACAGTCAGACAGACAGACAGACGGACAGACAGAAACATAGAGCAAACAATTCTAATCAAACATTATCATTAAAAAAATCCAACTTACATGTAAACAACAAAATCAAACAGACAAACACCCAGACACAAACACACAGACACAAACACACAGACACAAACACACAGAAAGTGGATGTGGCTTTAAGAGGAACCGATCAGCAGGAGGAGGAAGGCCGCATCAAGGACCCCCCCAAATACCCGAAGGAGTTGAGATAAGTCCCACAGGATGCTCCAGGTATCGTTTTAAAGGACCTCACTTGAGAACTCCTTAGGGGGGACAACCTTGAGAGGAAATATGTGTGTGTGTGTGTTGGGTCATGGAGGAAGGATGATGATGATGATGACGATGATGATGATGATGATACTACTACTGATAATAATAATAATGACAATAATAATAAGAAGAACAACAAAAACAACAAAACAACATCAACAACAACAACAACAACAACAACAACAACAACAACAAGTAAAGAACAAGACCAAGCAGAAGAAAAACAACGTCAATAACAACAAAAAATATCAACACTACCCACACACACACACACACACACACACACACACACACACACACAAAATAATTGAAAATAATGCTACGTTTAGTGACAATAAACCGCCACAATAAACACAACGTTAAAATAAAATAAACGCTGATGAGATTTTACTATTTCTGTTTAATATATCACAATAACAACAAGAATGGGAGACGTAGAGGTAACGATGAATAAAGACGAGGAGACAAAGAGAGGAATAATGATAGAGACGAGAATAAAGGACAATTAGAGAGTTGAAAAGAGAGTGAATATAACAAGTAGTAGTATTTTTGTTGTTGTTGTTGTTATTATTATTATTATTATTATTATTATTATTATTATTATTATTATTATTATTATTATTATTATTATTATTATCATTCAACCTTAACTTTCGATACAAATAATAATAATAATAACAACAATAATAATAATAATAATAATAATAATAATAATAATAATAATAATAACAATAATAATAATAATAATAATAATAATAATAATAATAATAATAATAATAATAATAATAATAATAATAATAATAATAATAATAATAATAATAACAATAATAATAACAATAATAATAATACTAATAATAATAACTGATAATAATAATAATAAAAATAAAAATAAAAATAATAATAATAATAATAATAATAATAATAATAATAATAATAATAATAATAATAACAATAACAATAATAATAACAACAACAACAAACCACCCACATTAGACACACAAGGTCACAAGACACACCTGAATAACACCGATACATTCCTACACACCTGAACCATTAACTGGCAAATTTGCATCCTAAATGTTCTCAACTCTCACGTTATATTGAAAAAAAAGTAAGATAATTTTTTCGATATGTCAAAGTTTAACTAATTATTAATAAAATGCTGAAATAAATATAAATGTATCTACAGATTTTAGGTCGTGATGAAACTGAATTGAGAAATTAACATGAATGTGATACTTGAATTTGAAGTTAAAAGTATTCGACATATTTCATAATTCTGGGGTCGTGTTATTGTTAATTTTAAAGTGGTATTAATGACTAGATTATATTACAAATTATAACAGAATAACAAGATTACGAAGAAATAATCGGTGTATTTTGATGACAGTACAAAATACCACTACAGTACAGTACCTAGATAAGAGCCAAAAGCTTTCTGTAGACCATTTTTGGATCAAACGGACTGTGCTGTACTGTACTGTGCACGGAGGCAGTAAATGATTATTATTGTACATTTTCTGGTCTGAGAGAGAAACTTAGTTGGTACCAGAAAAAAATATATATGTACTGTACAATATATTTGGGTAGTACAGTATACTGATTTTTTGTATGGTTCGTTTGTGGTGTAAAGTGATGTGTGTGTGTGTGTGTGTGTGTGTGTGTGTGTGTGTGTGTGTGTGTGTGTGTGTATGAAAATGTGTGTTTATATATGTTTATACATCACAATAAAAAGAATTATATATATATGAGACTTTTGTTCAATTAGTACATAATAATAATCATCCCAGGTTAAGAATAAAAATTAATAAGAGATTAGGTGAGAGATTAAATGATCGTAAAATAAATATATATATAAGAAAATCCCCCAAAGTTGCCGATTCAGTTGTAAGTTTGAGATTATTGAGAGAAAAAACTTATAAGCTGACGAAAGCTTATATAAGTCACAGGCAGTCAAGGTGTGAGCTATAAAAGTCGAGGCCTCGTTAAATGCACAAAAAAGCTTAGGAAACATTAACGAAATTTTTTTTATGTGTAATTAAAAAGCTTGACGTATTGGGATATATATTTTTTTATTTTTATCCGTGAATTATTTTTGGTGTATGTGGTTTGGTTTTTGGGATACACACACACACACACACACACACACACACACACACACACACACACACACACACACACACACACACACACACACACATTCATAGATACCATACATACAGACATTATCCCAATATATTTATAGATACATATATACATATACATAGAAACACACATATATACAGATACACACATACACATGCATTCACAAATATCCACATACACACAGACATATATGTATCAATAAATAGATACACACATACATAGAAACACACACAACACACACACACACACACACACACACACACACACACACACACACACACACACACACACACACACACACACCAGTGGACCAAATATGTCCAAACTTAGTATAACTTTATTATATATTAGCGTCACGAAATTATGCAGTGTATCATGTTGACGCGTGTTCCTTTCTTCTTCTTCTTCTTCTTCTTCTTCATCTTCTTCTTCCTCTTTCTTTCTTTCCTCTTCCTTTACTACTTCTTCTTCTTCTTCCTTCTTCTCCTCCTCCTCCTTCTCGTGAATAAGTGGCTCCTGAAGATATAAGTTGATAGAATAATCCTCTTCTTCTCTTCCTACCTACTATTTCTTCCTCTTCCTCCTCCGTTTCTTATTCACGCGAATAAGTTGTCAGATAAGTTTAAAATAACTTCTCTCTTCTTCCTCCTCTCCTCCTTCTTCTTCTTGTTCTGCTTATTTTATACCTTTTCTTCTTCTTCATCTGAATAAATTCCTGTTCCTGTTCCTCCTCCTCCACACTCTCTTTCTCCTTCCCCTTCTACTAACCCCTTTCCACCTCCTCAATCCACTTTTTACCTCCTGCTATTCGCCTCCTCCTCCCTCTCTCTCTCCCTCCTCCTCACCCACCTTCCCCTCCTCACCCACCTTTCTCCCTCTCCTCACCCACCTCTCCCCTCCTCCTCACCCACCTCTTCTCCCTCTCCTCCTCACCCACCTCTTCTCCCTCCTCACCCACCCTTCTCCCTCTCCTCCCTCACCCACCCTCTCCCACCCACCTCTCTCCTCTCCTCACCCACCTCTCTCCTCTCCTCCTCACCCACCTCTTCTCCTCTCCTCCTCATCCTTCCTTCCTCTCCTCCTCACCCACCTCTTCCCTCCTCCTCACCCACCTCTTCTCTCCTCCTCTCACCCACCTCTCCTCCTCATCCTTCCCTTCCTCTCTCTTCCTTGTGGTATAAGTTATTAGAATAAGACAAGGCCCCCCAACACTCTAAGTTGTTCCCCACACTCTATACTGTACACACCGCTCGTAAGTCTCTCAGCACCTTCCCGCCACACATGTATGCCTGGTACTATATGCTAATACCCACTACACATGTATGCCCGGTACATATATGCTAATACCCACTACACATGTATGCCCGGTACATATATGCACACACATGTATGCCCGGTACACATATGCTAATACCGCTACACATGTATGCCCGGTACATATGCTAATACCCACATGTATGCCCGGTACACATATGCTAATACCTACACATGTATGCCCGGTACATATGCTAATACCCGCAACAAATACACCAGGTACACATATGCTAATACCCACTACCACATGCATGTCCGGTACACATATGCTAATACCCGCTACACATGCATGCCCGGTACACATATGCTAATAACTACCACATGTATACCCGGTACACATAGCACCCGGTACACATATGCTAATACCTGATACACATATGCTAATACCCACTACACATATGCCTGGTACACATGTACGCCGCACACATATGCTAATACCCGATACACATGTATGCCCGGTACATGTATACCCGATACACATATGCTAATACCCACTACACATGTATGCCCGGTACATGTATACCCGGTACACATATGCTAAATCCGATACACATGTATGCCCGGTACATGTATACCCATGCTACTCCACTACACATGTATGCCCGGTACACATGTATACCCGATACACATATGCTAATACCCACTACACATGTATGCCCGGTACACATGTATACCCGGTACACATATGCTAATACCCGATACACATATGCTAATACCCACTACACATGTATGCCCGGTACACATGTATACCCGGTACACATATGCTAATACCCGATACACATACAGTATACTCGGTGCATATACACAGGCATATATAAAGTATTTCTGTATGTATATATATATTGTGTGTGTGTGTGTGTGTGACTCATACCGCGAGATACGAGATATTAACATTACCGCGAGATACGAGACATTAACACTACTGCGAGGTAAGGGATATTAACATTACCGCGAGATAAAGGATATTAACACTACCGCAAGATAAGAGATATTAACATTACCGCGAGATAAGAGATGTTAACATTACCGCGAGATAAGAGATATTAGCATTACCGCGAGATACGAGATTAACACTACCGCGAGAT